ACTGAGTAGGCTTCTGTGTTAGAATCCTACCTCTGGGCTAGGCGTGGCTCAACACGTATGATCCACACTTTGGGAGGCCAAAGTAGGAGGATCTTGTGGCCAGGAGTTTGAGACCAGGCTGGCAACATAGCAAGACTTTGTCTCTACAAATAATAAGCAAGCATGGTGGCGCATGCCTATGGTCCCAGCTACTCAGGAGGCTGAGCTGGGAGATTACTTGAGCCCAGGTGGTCAAGGCTACAGTGAGCTGTGATCCTACCATTGAATTCCAACCTGGGCAACAGAGCAAGACCCCTGATATGGTTTGGCTGTGTCCTCACTCAAATTTCATCTTGAATTGTAGCTCCCAAAATTCCCATAAGTCATGAGAAAAACTCAGTAGGAGGTAATTAAATCATGGGGCAGATCTTTCCTGTGCTGTTGTTGTGATACTGAATAAGTCATGAGACCTGATGGTTTTATAAAGGGGAGTTCTCCTGCACAAGTTCTCTCTCTCTCTCTTTTTTTTTTTTTTTGCCTCCTGCCATGTAAGATGTGCCTTTTGTGTTTTGCCATGATTGTGAGGCTTCCTCAGCCATGTGGAACCGTGAGTCCATTAAACCTCTTTCCTTTATAAATTACCCAGTGTCAGGTATATCTATTGCAGCATGAAGATGGACTAATACAACCCCTGTCTCAAAAAAAGAGAGGAAAAAGAAGAATTCTACCTCTGAGACTGTAACTGTGTGCCCTTGTACAATTTATGTCACTTACCTACTCCTCAGTTTCTTCATCTGTATCATGGGAATGATAAGCCCTTTTGAGAGGGTGGTTGTAAGAATTAAATGAAGTTATACATAGAGAGAGCTTAAAATAGCTCCAGCCCATAGTGGTCAGCAAGTATTAGTGTTTCGTATTATTAATTTTAAAGTTGTTATTTTCATAATCTTAAAAATTCTGATAACTTTTGATTCTTATTCTCAGTATGTATTTAATATAGAAACAGTGTTTGTAATCATTTATGGTTACACTGCAGAAATATGTTCATGTTGGGGTTTTGCATTCCCTCAGTACACATCTTTGGGGCTACGTGTACCTCAATTTGAGAGGCATGGGACTGGGAACCTTGTATTTTAGTTCCAGAGTGAAACTTAAGCTCTGGAGAGAATAGTATTCAGGGTCAATGCAAGCACTTTGCATGGATGAATCTGCTCACATTTCTGGTGTTCTTCTAGTTTTATGCAGTGATCTTGGCAGTTGTAGATACTGGAGCATCACACAGGGTCCTCTGATGCACTGCTTGAGTGTGTAGAATGAGAGACACCACACTCATGCCCTGCTTTGCCTTACAACACTTGGGCCAAATCAGAAAAAAAAGTGGATCTTAATCTGAAAAGAAGAAAAAATTAAAGCCCGCTTTTGTGGGAATACACTTTATTATGTAGAGCAGGACACAGGCATTTACTTTAGAAAGTGGAAATGAAATGTATTATTTTAGATGTTTTCAGAAGGAGGAAAAAGGTCATGGTTTTTACCTTCAGAAATCTTACATTGAGATAGATTTGTTAATTTCTTACTATTTTGTGTTTGTGTCTGTTCTTTAAAATATATTTATTTGTTAGTTTCTGGTTCTTTTCTTATTTATTACCCCTTTCCTTTTAATAGGTATTTGTTACATCATGTGGGAATATAATTGACATGCATTTGATTTGGTTTTAGTAATTGACATTTGCTTTATCCAAGTATGGCAATATAATTCTGAAAGATAATCATCTTGTAAAAGTATTTTCTTGGGCTTTGCTCTTTCAGCATATGTGTTTTTATGCTAAGTAAAACCTTTCTGGTATCTTCAAGTTACTACCATCAATGGAGACCTATTCTATTCATGATTTTGTGGAGCTGGGTTTTTCCTGCATTTGAGTAACAAGATTCTTCTTCTGTACTCAGCACAGCATCTCAAAGGCCATGTCTTCAGCCTTCCACATCTAAAAGCTTTTGCTTATCCTCTGATGTTTATTTTTGACATTATAAATGCTTACCCAGTCCGGGCATGGTGCCTCACACCCATAATCCCAGCATGCTGGGAGGCTGGGGAAGGTGGAAAAACAAAAGCTCTCCCAGGGCCCAGCATAGGCTTATGGCCAGGTTGAGGCTGGCTCTTTGTCTTCAGGTGCTTATTGCCTCATTGCATAAAGACCGTTTTAGGGCCCCATTTGGACCCTGCTCTCCTGGGCAGAGTGGTTGGGTATAGCTGGGACATGGCAGTGCATCAAGACAAAGGACCGGGCACAGTGGCTCACTCCTGTAACCCCAGCACTTTGGGGGACCAAGGCAGAGGGGTTGCTTGAGCCCAGGAGTTTCAGACTAGCTGTGCAAGATGGAGAAACCCTGTCGGTCTACTAAAAATACAAAAATTAGCTGGGCATGGTGCACATGCCTGTGGTCCCTGGTACTTGAGGGGGCTGAGGTGGGAGAATTGCTTGAGCCTGGGATGCGGAGATTGCAGTGAACTGTGAGTATACTACTACACACTCCAGCCTGGGTGGCAGAGTAAGATCATGTCTCAAAAAAAAAAAAAAAAAAGGACAGCAACAACAACAACAAACAAAAAAAACCTCAGCCTAGCAAAGTGTGTGTTAATAATATTGAATATATCCCTTGGATATGTTGATTCAACATTTATAAAGTTCAAAGAAATTTCTCCTGGAATATAGTGAAAAACAAGCCTAAATCAAACTTAAACACTGATTAAATTAATGAGATGAGAAGCTGTTCTTTTTTTTTTTCTTTTCTTTTCTTTTTTTGAAAAGGTTTTGCCTCTGTTGCCCAGGCTGGAGTGCAGTAGCACAATCAGTTCACTGCAGCCTTGAACTTCGTGGGGCTCAAGCAATTCTCACACCTCAGACTCCTGGTAGTTAAGTAGCTGCGATATAGGTATGTGCTATCATACCTGGCTAATTTTTTTTTTTTTTTTTTTTTGTTTGTAGAGACAGGGTGTCACTGTGTTGTCCAGCTGGTCTTGAACTTCCAGCCTCAAGTGACCCTCTCTCCTTGATGTCCCAAAGTGCTGGGATTATAGGCATAAGTCTCTGCACCTGGCTGCAGCTGTTGTTAGGTGAATACATTTTCACTACTACTGAAATTAATCATGAATATTCTTCACTTTAATAGATATGTATATAACTTTTTAAATGTTTTATTTTTGAATTTCTGTATTAAAATGTCCCAAGTCTCAAGTGTTCATCTGAAAAATCACAAATAGTATAATTTGCATGTGCTGAGGGCTCATTGGGCATGTTTTTTGGTGTCAGTTTTTTCCGCCTGCTCTAGAGTCTTTTTAGAGTTTTTTTCCATGAGTGAATTCAGTAGTCTAGTGACTTCTGTGTGTTTTTAAGATTGGCACTGGCCTTTTTGATTGACCTCCAGACTTGCTTTTACTGAAGTATTAAAATAATCTGGCTCTGCTGAATTAGGAATTATTTCTAAGCCCAGCCCTGGCACTAAAGGGCTTGAGCATGTAGTTAACTAATAGCCTGAATAAATACTACTGTATTCATCCCAAAACATGACTCCCTGTGCTCATATTGACCTTGATTTCTAGTGCACCAGTGGATAATCAAACAATTAGCAGAAAGCATCACCAATTATGAAAAGCCAAGCAGTGGGGCCTTTTCTATATAAAAATAACCATGTGGGCTGGAGCTTTATTTTTGGCTTAATAAGACTGCCCTCCAAAAGATACTCATTTGCCATTAGATGTTTGTGTTCATATAATCAGAGTCTCCGCTGGTTTTTATCCTATACTAATTGTTTTGTGGTGGCTGTGCACTGAGGTCACAGTTTACCACTGTATTCCCTGTATTCAGCATAGTGCTTGGCTCACAGAAGTTGCTCCATCACCGTTTGTCTTATGAATGATGAATGAAAATTTGCGAAAGGGGATGCAGATAGTACTGTGGGCTGAAATGGGAATGGCAGAGGAGTTGTGGGTGGGAAAGGTAAAGAGAAGAAATTTGCTGCAGGGTAAGTGCAAACTGGGGAAGCCCAGTAGGATTTGGTAGGAAATGCCATATAGAAAGAATCTCTACATTGAGCCAGTAATACAGGAGCTTCTCTTCTTGTTTCTGCTTAGTCAGTTTATGTACTCTTTGATTCTGGGAAGAGTGATAAAACTGGCCTGAGCTCCCTCACAGAGTGATGTAAAGACTTAATAAGATAAAAAATAGACATGATCTGCACATTTACAAAGCACCAAATAAATGTAAGTTACTGGATCTAATGGTGATTAAATGTTGTTTTCAAAGTATGGTGACTGTTTAAAGTTACTAAATTTGAAAAGTAGAGTAAGCTGTTTTATTGAAAAGGAAAGTGGTAAGTGAGCTAGAAACAATGTTTAGCCAAGAGAGCATTTGATGACATTTATAAGTAGGAGCTTTTGAGATACAGTCAGACACTGCTTAACAACATTTCAGTCTATGGCAGACTGCATATATTAAGGTGGTACCATAAGATTATATTGGAGCTGAAAAATTCCTATTGCCTAGTAATGTCGTAGTCATCTTAATATCATAGTGTGATGCATTACCCATGTGTTCGTGGTGATGGCCATATAAACAAACCTACTGTGCTGCCAGTTGTATAAAAATGTAGCATATACAACTGTGTATAGTACATAATACTTGATAATGGTGTATTAGTCTGTTTTCACACTGCTGTAAAGAAATAGCTGAGACAGGATAATTTATAAAGGAAAGAGGTTTAGTTGACTCACAGTTCTGCATGGCTGGGGAGGCCTAGGAAACTTAAAATCATGGCAGAAGGTGTAGAAGCAGCAAGCACCTTCTTCACAAGGTGGCAGGAGAAAGATAGAGCGCAGGGAAAACCGTCACTTTTAAAACCATCAGATCTCATGAGAACTCCCTCACCATCAGGAGAACAGCATGGGAGAAACTGCTCCCATGGTCCAATCACCTTCCACCAGGTCCCTCCCTTGACACTTGGGAATTATAATTTGAGATGAGATTTGGGTGGGGACACAGAATCAAACCATATCAAAGGTAATAAATGGTTTTGTTACTGATTTATATAATAACAGTACCATTTATTGTTGTTTTAAGGTATACTCCTAACTTATAAAATATTTTAAAAAGTTAACTGTAAAACAGCCTTAGGCAGGTACTTTATGTGGTGTTCTAGAAAGCATAGTTATCATAGGAGATGACAGCTTCATGTGTGTTATTGCCCCTGAAGACCTTCTGGTGGGACAAGATGTGGAGGTGGACGACAGTGGTATTGATGATCATGACCCCGTGTAGGCCTAGGCTAATGTGTGTGTTGTGTGTTAGGTTTTAACAGAAATGTTTAAAAAGTAGAAAAAAATTGAAAAGAAAAAAGCAAATAGAATAAGAATGTAAAAGAAAATATTTTTATACAGCTGCATAATGTGTTTGTGTTTTAAGCTGTTTGAAAACTGTGAAAAAGTTAAAAATGAAAAAGTTTATAAAGTAAAAAAGTTACAGTAAGCTAAGGTTAATTTGTTATTGAAGAAATAGAAGTTTTAAAAATAAATTTAGTGTAGAAATAGAAATTTAAAAAATAAATTTAGTGTAGCCTAGGTCACGGTATTTATAAAGTCTAGATATGGTAATATTTTAGACCTTTGTATTTACTCATCACTCATTCACTGACATGTAGAGTGACCTCAGTGCTTCAGGTTCCATCATTCATGGTAAGTGTGTATCATTTTTTATAAATGGTATATATATGGTATCTATCTTTTATACTGTACTTTTACAGTGCCTTTTCTATATCTAGATATGTTTATATACACAAATAACATTCTGTTGCAGTTGCATACAGTATGCAGTATAGTAACATGCTGTGCAGGTTTGTAGCCTAGGAGCAATAGGCTATACCATCTAGCCTAGGTGTGTGGTAAGCGATACCATCTAGGTTTATGCAGGTACACTCTATGATGTTTGCACAATGATGAAGTTGCCTAATAATGCATTTCTTAGAACATATGTTCATTGTTTAGTGATATATAATTATATCTTATTGGATACCTGTTGACATTTTTTTTTTCATTGTTCTTTTTCCTTTGAGTTGTTTTGAGTTGTATATTGGCCAAGATTCAGCGGGGGAAAGTTAAAAATGCGGATTTACCTTGGATATTCTGGTTTTGTATCTCTGGGCTAGCTCCTGAAAATCAACATTTTTAATGTTCTCCTGATGAATCTGTTGAGTAGCTAGATTTGGAATCCCTGATAAATAGTAAGTATCCCAAGGCCACAGTGGTGACCAAACATACAGCAAGCACCCCTTTTGGAACTTCATTTTTTATAAAATTCTTGATAATCTTATAAAGGGCGATCAGTTAATAATCTGACTAGCAAACACAAAACACTTTTCAGTGGAAACAGCTGCTGAAAGGTCAAAATTCAGATGAGGGCTCTACTGAATTTATGCAAGAAGAATTATCAATGGAAATAAGGGATGAGGAAAGAAGACTTTAGTATTATTAGTGTCAAAATTGTATTGCATTTTCTGCTCTTAGGAAACACAGATGCCAGTTAATTTTTTTTTCTTTTGCTTGGTTAGCTCTTGCAGCTATAGGAAATCAAAAATTTTGTTATTTAAAATTGATACTTTATTAACCAGGTATTGAGATAATGCAGAATAACCTAAAGATTTCCAGATAATAGAAAGGAACCTGGTGACAGTCTAGACTTAGGGTCTACATCCTCCATCAGGCAGACAATCAGCACCAGCCATGAGTGGGATGCATGCACTGTTGGGCCTGATATCCCGAGACAAGCCTCCACTTGGGCTAGTTTACAAACCATTATGTATTTTGAAGCTTTGCCACCCACTCAGGATGCCCTTAAGCTTTCACTAAATAGAACCTTTTCTAGGTAATAGGATTGTGGGAAGGGACATGGGATCTGAAGTTAACTGTGTTAATAGTGGCCCTGTCACTTATTTTTGTGTGACCATAAGTAAGTTTGCGTCTCTGAACCTCAGTTTTTTCATCTGTGAACCTGGGTTAATATTATGTACCTTATAAGATTGTTGTGAGAACTAACTGAAATGCATGCATATAAAAAACAATACAATGCTTTACCACAATAGACTGTCAAAACGTGTTAACTGTAATTATTAATAATCAATTCTTAAATACTATGTTTTAAGAGACAGAGCCAGACCATCCTGAAATACATACCTGTACTAAGCTGGGGGCCTTTGAGAGTCTACCATTTGATTTATTTCTTAGTGTATGGCATACTATGTTGATGCTCATCGTTAATAACTTAGGTAACAAGCTATTGGTTTCTGGGATGGGTTAGAAGAACAGCTCAGAAGGAGAGGGCTTAGGAGAGGAGGTCAGAAAAGGATGGTAGAGTGGTTTCACAGTGAACAGTGTCGGGTAGCAGGGTGGGACAGGAGGCTGGGAAGTTGACAGGCTTCTGCTCCAAGAGCTTTGAATGTCAGAACTGGGGTGGGGAGGGGTCATTCCCTTCATTGCCAAGTAGTTTATGGTGATTGAGTGCCACCTAGAAGTTAATGAAGTACAGAGTCTTGGAGGTGGCTGGGACTGGATTTTCACTGGGGGCATTTGACTTCTTAGCCACTGTGCTTTTTTTTTTTTTTTTTTTTTTTTACTTTAAATGGGAATAATAATGGTGGTTATAGTAGAACAGCATTATTGTTACTAGTGTTAGTACTGTTTACACACATTTGTTGAGTGCTTACACATACTACCTTGAGTGCTTTCCACATATTGCCTTATTCAACCTTGAGACAACTCATGAAATAGGTATTATTAACCCCATTTTACAGAGCAGACCAAACTTTACAGAGCTTCAGGAATTTACTGTGTTGGTGGGTAGGCAAGATAACACAAGTTATGAATGTAGATGGTCTAATTCCAGGAGGCACACCTTTATTCCCTATCTCAAAGGCATATATATATAGTGTGTGTGATTTTACATGTATAAATACATGTGCTTATGTTAAGGCTGAAAACTGCATAGCATTTAGTGAGAGCTCTGCAAATTGCATTGGCTTTCTGTGGAGGCAGTTATGTAAATGGGTTCAGACAGACAGCATGGGAGAGACTACATAGTTGGGCATGGTGGAGCAGCAGTGATTCAGTCAGGAAGTCTCTGCAGCAGTGTCAGAGCCAGGGAATTGGGCTGGAGTGAATGGGCAGTCTGACCTGAAGACCTTGTGTTTCCTTTGGAAACCCTATTTTTATATGCTTACAGGAGAATGCTAAAAACATGATTAGAATTGAGATGTCATCACAACAAGAGTATCTGTGGAACCTTTTTTTTCCCCACTCAAAGACACTTTAATTAGCTTCCCATCATGAAAACAATTAGTCAAGATTTGCCATACCTAACCAGTCAATAATTCAAGGACAAGATCTCATTAAGAGCTTTTGCTTTCCCAGAAACTGCTGTTTTGAGGATTCAGCACTGGTGGCTACATGCTCTGGGGATTAATTCCTGATCCATATTTCCCCTGAACTTTTTTGTTTTCTCAAATCAAGAAGAAAACACATTTTAAAATGACTGTATAAACTGCCCTTCATTTTCACAAAGGTGTTCTGGGATTTGAGTTATGCTTTCTCTGTCACAGTTCCATTGGGTTCTGTTTTGAATTACATCCACTAAGTGGACAAAGCAAGAGATGAGACAGGCAATGCTTGAGTGGGTGAGCCTCACGCTCAGATTTTGTGAGTGGCTTATCCCTCAGCCAGGTGAAGGTTGCCCTCTGTTGATCTGAGCTGGTGGATCTCCTGGGACATCTGGTTCATTTTCCCTGACGCAAGTATTGAGATGTACTATATATTTCTTCCCATCTTTCGCTTCTTCACTTTCTCTTCCCTACATTCCCTCTGTCTCTTCATTCTTTCCTTTGTAAATGCATTGTTGATTTCCTACCATGTGCTAGTCTTTGCAATTAGAATTGAGGATGCAATGAAGAAAAAATAGGTACAACCATTTAGAAAAACATTTGGCCTGATCTATTAAAGTTGAAACTGTGCATGTGCTATGGCCCAGATAATTGACTCCTGGATACTCCAGAGATACTTGTGTACATACATATCTGGATATATTATAAATATTTTCATGACGGCACTGTTTAAAATAGCTATAAACTGGGTCCATTCTAAATATCTTCTGTAGAGTGGATAAATAATTTGGAATGTTTTCAGTCAGTAGGACATTATGTAGCAATGAAAATGAGTAACGACATGCAACATTGCGGATAAATTTTACAAGACTGAGCATGCGGGCATTATTCACCCTGTCTTAATAGACAGGCAGTGACATGATTAGCGTGTGCTTAAGAAGTTGACTTTTGTCAGTATGGAGTACAGGGAATCCATACAGGAGATACAGACCCCATTGGGAGGCACTTTGCAATGGTCTTGGAGAGAGAAAATTCTATGCCAAGCACAGGCAGTAGCTGTAGCAAGGAAGAGAGTGACATGGATTGTTGAGGGACATTAGAAGTGAAATAAGCACAATCAGGTGACTAATTGGATGTTTGGATTGATAGAGAGGGGACCATCTAACTTGTTGCTAAGACTTCTAATCTCATGGACTAGAAGGACAGTTGTGTCATTGACTGAGAGCCGAGGAAGACTAGGATTTTGAGTTGATAGATAATGAATCCTCATGGCAGTAAGCTATATGACCTTGGGCAAGTTATTGAACATCTCTTTGCCACAGTTTCTTCACTTATAAAAGAGAAAATAATTTTCAAAGCATAGCAACCTCAGAAGATAATACAGTGTCTGATCTAGAATATACACTGTTACGATACCAGTTTTTGAGGAGTAAGTATGACCCTGAATTTGTAATATCATGAATGTGAAGGAGAGTCTTCTCTGTAGGCTTCTAACAAATGCTTATTGAACTCATTCAGAGATGAAAGACAGGTGAAGGAAAACTTGAATCATCCTTATATGTCTTGAGGATGATGAGACACTAAGTACTTCAAGTACAGGGTGGGGAGAAAGTCTTAGGACATAAGCTACAAAGAAATGAGATTACATAATGTGGGGAAAGAAAAGCCAAGAGGTGATTTTATGAGACTTTAAATGAAGGGCAAGCCATAAGTTAGCATTGCTGAAAACGGTTTAAAAGGCACAGAGCCATTTATAAAATGCTTTATCTATTTATATAAAAGTGATACTCAGAGCCTTATTATTCAATAGACTTTTGCGGTGATTACCAAAGGAATACATATTTTTTAATAGAAAGTTTCGAAACCACTAAAAAGAACAAAGCAAGTAAATAACATATAATTCTAGTGCCCTAATGTTAACATTTTAGCTCTGTTCACTTACTCATCTGTTCATCCATCCATCTATCCATCCACCCATCTTTTCTTTTTTAATGGAGCTGAAATTAAACCATATGTTGTTGTGTAAGCTGCTGTGTTTTGCACAGAACCTAAATGGAGATGAATTCTAGTGTGAGGGATTTAGGTTAGCTATTTGTAGTAAGAAGAAAGTGTCTGATGTGCTTTATCAATGAGTTATTGAGGGAAAGTGCAATATTTTCTTCTCTGGCAGTCTTAAAATATAACAGGATAAACTCTCATCTCGTTGATGGCAAGGGCATGACCCTGCTTTACTGCCCTGTTATTCTCTGATATGTGGACAAAACCTAAGAGTGCTTTTCTGAAGACTTCTCCCAAAAGTGGCAGAAAGAAATATTGGTTAGAATATGATGTAAGAAACTTTTATTAATCCCTCACCTACATTTGCCTTCAGGACTGAGGTCTGGAGAGTTCATCTCTCCCAAGAGTGTGAGACTGTTCAACTTTTCATTTCTCAATATTAAAATCACTGTAAAATTCTATTCTGACTAATCCAGAATAAAGACGGGAAAGATTAGTGTCACCAAGATATAGTTTTCCATGAGCAAATCATTTTAAATAGGCTTAAATCTAAGAGGTGAAAACTGCTTAGACTGAAGGAATTTATGTCAGATTGGATGGGATAACTCGTGTGTGTGTGTGTGTGTGTGTGTGTGTGTGTGTGTGTGTGTGTGTGTGGTGGAGGAAAGAGAGGGAGAGAGGGGAGCTGTATGCATGATCTAAATGTAGAGGCTGCTGCTATTAGCGAGGTCTGATTAAGAGGTTTTAATAACCATTTTGACCAAAATGACAGTTTGTTGGATCCAGTGTTTTCTCAGATTTTTTGTTTGTTTGTTTCAGTGCGTGTTCTCACGTATCATGCATATAAACACATGCCAACTATATATACAGGAGACTTGGCTCTCATTTCCTTTCCATAGAGATGTAAGGTTGGGAATATGTTTTCTTTGTTGAATAGTTTTGATTACAAAGAAATTGAATTAATTCATCTAACAAATGCTTATTGAACTCATTCAGTGTAAGCACTGTGCTGAAAATGGGGAATAGGAGATTGTCTAAAAGCATCAAGGAATGGCAATAAGCATTTTAGTCGGTGGTGCAGATGTGACTATTAATCTATACCTGGTACTTGGTGTCCTCAGAAGAGAAGCCTCCTTTACCTTCAGGGTAAAGCCTAAACTCCTCAACCTGAGACCATTTGCAATCTTGTCTTCACTTATCCTTTCAGCCTCATATCCTAGCATCTCCCACATCCATCTTATGCTCCCGCCATTTCTATAGGAAGAATTTTTCAAACCCCATGCCATGTACTGGGCATTTTTAGATAACTTATGGCTCCTCAGACATCCTCTCTTCCTTCATGCCTCCTTACCTGGATCCTTGCGGTTTTCCAGTAATGGAGTGTTTCATCTCCAGTTGCTGATACTCTCCCACTTATCTGTTTGTCTTTTCCACTAGCCAATGAGATCCTGGAGGAGAGAGACCATCTCCTTCTCTGTGGACTTCTAGCAGTCAGTATGGTGCTTAGCATATAGTAGCCATGCAGTCAGTGTGTTGAACAAATAAATGAATGAGGCAAAATTAAGTGTAATCCAAATCTCTAGTGGTGATAAACTCCCTTAGCTTTTGTTTATTTAGGAAAGTCTTAATTTCTCTTTCGTTTTTGAAGGATAGTTTTTCTGGATATAGTATTTTAATGTTGTAGGTTTTTTTTTAATTTCAGTATTTTGAATATGTCATTGCATTTACTTCTGGCCTGCAAAGTTTCTGCCAAGGAATCTACTGAAAATCTTATAGGAGCTTAATGTGATGAGTTGCTTTTCTCTTACTGCTTTCAAGATTCTCCCTTTTCTTCTGTGACTTTTGACAGTGTGATTATGTGTCTTGGTGTGAGTCTTTTTGAATTTATCCTAGTTGAAGTTCATTGAGCTTTTTCAATTTGTATGCCAATTTCCTCCCTCAAATTTAGGGAATTTTCAGCCATTATTTCTTCAAATAGATACTCTACTTCTTTCTCACCCTCTTCTCGATTTGAGATTCCCATAATGTGGATAATGATCTGTTTGATGATGTCTTAGGCTCTCTTGACTTTTCTTTATTCTTTTTTTTTTTTTTTGGTTCCTGACTTAATAATTTCAAATAACCTGTCTTTAAGTTTGCCAGTTCTTTCTTTTGCTTGATCCAGTCTGCTGTTGAATGAACCCCTCTAGTGAATTGTTTTTTAGTTCCATTATTGTATTTTTCAACTCTGGAATTTCTGCTTGGTTCTCATTTTTAGTTTCTCTTTGTTGATAGTCTCATTTTGTTCCAGCATTTTATTTTTCTTGGTTCCTTTAGTTGTCTGTTTTAGTTCATGGAGTATTTTAATATGGTTATTTCAAGTTCTTTATGAGGTAATTCATAAATCTCTGTTTCTTTCTAGAGATTTGTTTCTTTGATTTGGCCATGTTTCCTTGTTCCTTTGCATACATTGTGATCTTTTGTTGAGGTTTGGGTACATGAAAAACAACCACTTCTCATAGACTTATGGACTGGCTTCATACAGGGAAGACCTTCACTGATCAGCCTAGCTTGAGATTCCAGGGGCCTCTCAAACCTTTTTGGGGGATGCATCTTCTCTGGGTTTGTGTGTAATTTCCCAGTTATAGAGGACTGCCTCTGTTTTCAAGAACCCATGATCTTTTGTAACCCTTGGTGGCTGTCTCAGGTACTTGCAGGCTCTTTAGTGTAACAAGCCACCATGCTTGCTTTTGAGAGTATTTTGCCATTTTCTTTAGCACTCTGAGTCATGCCTCTCTTAAAGACAGAATGTTGGATGCACAGTTAGCGCTTTTCTGTCCCTCCTGAGGAAGAAGCCAGAAGTTGGGAGTTTTTTCTTGATTGTGTTACATGATGCTGGGTGGGAAGCACCTATCATGGGTAAAAGCAACAAACTTTCTTATCTGCTTTGATGTGGCTCTTCTTGGCTTTGCACTCACCTGGGTGGTGCTACTTCTTGAGGGAGTTCTCACAAAGGCACTTTGGTTTATATATTGTTCTTACGTCATTGTCTCTGGGGGTAATGAGGGCTTGGGACTTTCTATTCGGCCATCTTATATCACTTTTAAGTGTAATGTAACTCTCCGTTTTACAAAATGAAGATAATTAATATTGATATAACTTTGGTAATTAAAATTGGTAGAGATAGTGACATATCTCTTCTGTCTCACCCCCTTCTCCAATTGAGGAATGCAAAAGTCATTCCAGGTTTCTGGTTTTCCAGTCTTGTCTCTATCTGACTTTCTTTAGTAATAGTAGCTAACATTTAATAAATACTTACATGTCGGGAACTCTTCATATTCCTGTGATGTGTGATAACTCATTTACTTGCAACAGTAGTTGTAAGAGAAAGATACTATGGTTGTTCCCATTTTACATGTGAGGAAACCAAGTTAGAGAGAGTCTAAATAATTTACCTAAGGTCATATCATTGATAATTACCTCAGACTCAATTTTAAAAAGAGATTTTGCAGCATGAAATGAATATTCTTTAATTTAAATAAGACTGTTGTGAATATTATATAAACTATAAATTACTTTTAACAAAACTTCTTATAACAGGCAGTTATTGAATAATTATGGATATTATTTTGTACTGATTATAAGTGGTTATTATGCAGCTACAAATGTCTGTAGTTTATGTATCCAACCATAGAATGACATCAAAGATGTGTTTTTTTGATTTTTGGTGTTTTTTTCTTTGCAGGACAGAGTTCATTCAAAGAGGCAGAATTTCAATCACAGGAGCTGGATTTCTCAACTGCATTCTAGAAACTTTTGCCAGCACATTCTTAAGACAGGGAGCCCAGAAGGTAACCTTATTTCTGCTTTGAACCAGTGTTAATTTTAAAAAACAATAAGAGTTCCAATAGGGTTATTGAATAAGACTCATGAACAGACCTAATGAGAAAAACATAGTTAATAAATATATGCAAAAATAATTACCCTCAAAATTATTACATAAACCAAAATCAAAGTAAAACTAAAGTGCAATTTATGGCTCATTAAATTGAAAATATGCTAATGAAAAGTATGTGAAAATTTGAGGCATACTTACAATCTAATTAAAGAAATAATCAGAATGAATAATAATGTATAGTATGGTGACAGCTATTTAATAAAAAAGATAATGATAGTTAATATTTATTGGGCACTTACTATGTACTACTGACTGCTAAAAGAATTTGTATTTATTATTTCATTTAATCCTCACAAACCTTTGAAGGAGCTATTACTGTTGTCCTAATATTATAAATGAGGAAAATACAGAGACCCCAATTGTCCCTCCTTGTAGTTTTCAAACTCTATTCTCAAGGGAGCTTAGGCTTCCATCAAAGTGATTCAGAAGTCACATTGGTGTTCTAAGGTCCTGTGCACCCTATTTTAAGTAGAGCTGTTCCATTTTAATCTGTCTTCTATGGCATTCATTATGACATTTATATCTTCTATTTTCTTGCCTTAATAGCATTATTTTAAAAACATCTTTATGGCAAAACCCATTTCTTATGCATCTTTATGTGCTTATTGCAGTGCTGAGTATAGAGCAGTTGCTCCAAAGTGTTTTATTATTGTTATTAATTGTGATGATAATTATACTCACTTATTTCTAGATTTTACTCAGGACTTTGGTATAAGTTACCTCATTTTGTTTTGTGGGATAGAGTTAACCACTGGTCTAAAAAGCTATTGTTATGACTCTCAGAGACTTCTGGGTAATAGACCCTTGTTTTCGTTTTTGTAAGTCTAGGTTTAAGGATGAACCTGTACTAGGAGGCATTCATCTGGGAGGCTGAGGGCAGTGAATGAATATTCAGTACTGTTTTGTATACCATAGACCTACTGTTGAGATTGATGACATGTTTTTGCTCCAGTTGAGGTGGTTCCTGGCACATATTCAGACTGGTCCAACCTCTTTAAACCTGGACTTGAAGGGAGTAGTTGAACTTCCAGAAGATCTGATGTCACCTTCACTCACTCAGATATTATTGCAGATTTTCTGTTATATTGCAATTTATGCATTTGTAAAAACTCCCATGTTCTGCAGCATTGCACTTTAAAAATAGTGGAACTGATGAGAAAAGTAATTTTCTTGCCATGTTTCTTACTGAGTTGACTTCTTGTGCATCCTTTAAACTCTGTATGATAATAGTAATATATTGAATATAATTTTTTGCAATATAGGTGTATTAACTAGAAGTATGGGATGTTTTTGGGGGAAGGTATAACATTTAGCTGAAGTAGGGTTCAAAGGTAGTGTTCCCTATCATCAAGTTGATTGCAAATGTTCATTTATAAAAACCATTCTTGTAGGCCATATAAAAACAGGTGGTGGGCTGGATTTCGTTTGTAGGGTATAGTTTGCTAACCCCTACTTCAGATAAAATTATTTCATTAACGGAGGTGAGTCTGTATTTGACTCATTGATTAATCTGATGAATCTAATAATGAGTTTTTTTTTTTTTTTTTTTTTGAGAAAGAGTCTCGCTCTGTCACCCAGACTGGAGTGCAGTGGCGCAATCTCGGCTTACTACAGCCTCTGCCTCCTGGGTTCCAGTGATTCTCCTGCCTCAGTGTCCCAGGTAGCTGGGATTATAGGCATGCACCACTACGCCTGGCTAATTTTTGTATTTTTAGTAGAGACAGGGTTTCACCATGTTGGCCAGGCTAATCCTGAACTCCTCATGTCAGGTGATCTGCCCTCCTTGGCCTTCCAAAGTGCTACAATTAGAGGTGTGAGCCACTGTGCCCGGCCTCTAATAATGAGGTTTTAATCGTACAAGTTATATACATTCTGATCCTGTAAGATGCACAAAGTGAAATTTTTACTCCGATTTTATTAATGATAACGAGAATTCCTATTTTATTAAAAAGAAATGACTTGACTTAAAAGATAAGTATACTTGATATGTGGTAACTGCTTTCCCGCCTTCCTTCCTTTTTTTACAAATATATATTGAGCATCTGCTTTGCACTAGGCACTGTGCTAAGTGTAGACTAAATGTGTTTCTTTTCTTCTTTTTTTTTTTTTTTTTTTTTTTTTTGAGATGGAATTTCATTCTAGTTGCCCAGGCTGGAGTGCAATGACACAATCTTGGCTCATTGCAACCTCTGCCTCCTGGGTTCAAGCAATTCTTCTGCTTCAGCCTCCCTAGTAACTGGGATTACAGGCTTTTGCCACCATGCCTGGCTAATTTTGTGTTTTTAGTAGAGACGGGGTTTTTCCATGTTGGTCAGGCTGGTCTCGAATTCCCGACCTCAGGTGATCCACCCGCCTCGACCTCCCAAGGCTAAATGTGCTTCTTCAAGGTCACAGAACTAGCAAAGGGTGGAGTCTGAACTCAAATCCCCATCTTTTTTTCATTAAGAGTTTCCTCTTGCCACTTTATTGTGCAGCGCTTAGATGAATGAAGTGACATTCTTGCCTGCCTAGCATCACTAACTTCAGTAATACATTTGTTCATTAGATGAATTTGTGTTGTGGTCTTACTCCCTTTGGATTTATTAGGACTATTTGGTTGTGAGTAACAGAAACCACTTCAGGCTAGCTCATTTTAAGGGTACAAGGGTGGTGAGACTGGCAGGCTTCAGAAAGGTCTCTACTGGGAGCTGAACGCTGCTAGGAATCCAAGTAGTATTCCTTCTTCAGCTCTTGTCTGTAAGACTATGTGTCTGTTTTATTCCACTCTTCCTGCGTAGTCTGATTTTCTCTGCTCCCCAGGCTATATAATGGGACATGGGCCTCCACTGTCAAGTGTACAAATTATATATTAATAGAATTCTCACTAATAATAAAATGGCTTATTTGTTTTCTTTATTAATTCTTTGGGAAGGACTCTTGTTGGCCTCCCATAGGTCAGGTACCACCAGGAAGGTAGAAGTCAGGTTGTCCAGTTATGGCTTATCCTGTGCCATGACCACATGGACCAAGGTTGGGGGCCACTTCTCAGGAAAAGGGGTTGTAGGGGGATATATACTCCCCCAAATTTCTGGCATGATCCCACAGTTGATTCTATTTTCCTTGATGGCAGAGAGGTGGCTTTATTCATCTTAATCTTTATTCCCTCCTCCCAAACTGTAGTACCAAACTGTAGTACCTTAGACAGTGGTCAGTCTATTCGTGTGGGAATGAGTAGAAAGAAGTCAAATGCACAGGGAGGTTTACAGTTGGTTTCTGATGAATATTATCTGGAAATAATCAGGTGACTTCAACTTCTTAAAGTGATCCCTTTTTATTCTCTTTTATTATGCTCAGAAGTAAGAATATATTTTTCCTGCGAGCTTTTGCCATTTCTGACTTTACTTTTTCTTTTTGAAGAGGCCACATTTAATTAGCTTTTTGATTTTAGGAGCCATTTATGCTTAAGTGTCTTTTTTCTTTTATCCAAGTGGTCGTGTTTTCCAGTATTGCCTGACTTCTGATAAACCTTCACAGCTGAGCCTGCATAAATGGTGTCTGTGGAAGTCACCATGAGAGTGTTTTAGGTGACTTTATTATCACTTTAGGGCTTATCCCTGAGTCTTTTTAGTAGTGGTAATGATGGGATCTGATATCTACTTTTTTCCAGAAAAATCAAAACTAGGTACTTACAAACTTTATATTTTTATGTTTGTAAATTAAAAGCTGACTTTAGCTAGGGATTCCCAAGCTGAGGTCATATGTATTCTGTGCCTCTGAGGACTGGCTCAATTGCTTTTTTCTTCTTCCTTCATCACTCTTAAAGGGAGGTAACTTGGAATTTGAGAGCCTTTGTGTCACAAATGCTGAATTTTTACACAACATTCAGACCTTCCGTCCTCCTGGAGTGGCAATCTGTGGGCAGAAGAACCAGGATTTCCTTTTGGCAGTCAAGTTGACAGATGTGTCCCCGAAACAGGAGTGGTTCTGAACTTACAGCCCACTGGACTTGCTCTCCTCACCTTTGTGACCCAGCACAAGTCACTTTGGCCCTCCCTATTCTAATTGTCTGCAAAATGGAGGTTTTAATGTTCCCACAGATACGTGTGAAAACTAAGTTAGACAGCTTTCTTTAAGTTGGTAAACACAGGTCAAATACAAAAAATATGTTTTAGTTTTCAAGAATTAAAAAAAGTTACTGTCACATACTTCAACATATTTTCTTTTTATGGTTATATATACTTTTTTCTCCCCTTCAAACTCATGTAAACACATTTAGACAAGTAGATTTTAAGTTGACTTCCACCAGCACTTTTTGGGTGTCACCTATGTGCCAGGAATTGGGCCAAATGCTGGAGACACAAATAAGAATTAAGACATAATTCACAAGATAGAGATTGTGCCTTAAGCAGCTTTACTTCTGGGACATCTAGCTCAGGGCGGAAAGCAGGACAGACAATGAATAAACATCTGCTGATGCAGAAAATTTATTGAGCCTTTCTTGGTGTTCAGTGCCAGCACGATGATCAGTGCAGAGAAGCATATTAAAATAACAGCTAGTGCTTATAAGAGCTTAGTAGATGCCAAGCACTGTCCTTGGCATGCATTACCTTATCTGATTTTCTGGACAACATAATGAGATAGGAATTGTTATTCTCATTTTATGCCTAGGAAAACTGAGGTCCTAAGTGGCAAAGCCGTTTTCTCAAGGTCATGGAATCATTAAGTGGTGAACCTGGGATTTGAACCTAAGCCTGTCTGACCTCAGAGTGCTCTTGATCACTGCAGCACAGTGCTATATCCATGATCTATGTACTTAAGCCACCTGCGTTGGGCAAGAGTGAGGCGATGTGGTGCAAAGTAACGATGGAGGAATGCAAGAGTAGGGAGCTCAGTTACAGGGAGGAACTTGGAATG